GAAGTAGATAGAATAGGTACATTAACCCCATTTACCCAAACCAGATTAGTCAGGACCAGAGTGAATTTGGATGAAATAAATTCTCAAGTTCATTTACATTAATTTAATTAAACTGAAACAATTAAGTTTTCACTTCTTTGGTACAGTCTAATGACAGCCTTAAGTCATTCAATAAAAAATAAAACCACAATTTCTATCAAAATTTGATTTTCTGATATGTGTTAAATGAAAGTGAACAATATTGATGTGTATTAACAAATTTAGAAGGCACTATATTATGAATGCATACTACAAAAATGACAAATCTCAAGTTAAGTAAACTAAAGGAGACAAAGATTAACATACTAAAAATCACTCTACTATACAAGTAAAGCTAACATTTTCATTTTGAATTAAATTATATAATAAGGATTAGGTCTTGATATTGGTATATGTTGCACTGATACATTATCAATAATGAAATGGTATATTTTATGCAGAGCTTCTAAAAACTACATTATGTTCAATTTTCTTATACAATCTCAGGCCAATATAAGCTTAAAGATGTCTTTTTTTCCATAAACTAAAAGTCCAAATAAGTTCATGTTGCTTGGTGATGGCAATTCAAATAGCATAGCACCCTCTGGTGCATTTGCTATAAGAAATATAAAATTCCCACAATGAGGATAGCATTAAAAGGGACCTTAAAGACTAATGGGTGGAGGTTGCTTTATTTAGTAGTTGAATATAGAATTTTATTTTTGAAACTTATCCTAAAATACTTTTTAAAAATACTCCTGAAAACCTTAACATCTGCAAATAAGATGATTTAAAATGTTTTCATCCATAAATTAGTTTTAAAAAATGGTATAATAAAACTACTAAAATTTCACCTGTTTTAGATACAAAATGTTCACATTACAATATGCTATATTAAAAAAATACAACATCATATGTGAAAGTTAGAGCTCACTTGTCATGGTAACTAAATTGTATTTCATTTTCAACTACTATGGCTTCTTGCCCTGCAAAATTACCTCATTATTTGAATTGTCAGATAACTTTTGAATTTGCTTTGTGTATTCAAAAGAAGTTAGGCAATATTATCAAAAATTAAATGATTCACAAAAGGGTTCATGTTATACTACTTACAAAGATATAAAAAAATGAAATGTTGTGTTTAGTAACTACAAGAGTTTTAAACTATTTTAAAAAAACATTTATTAAAAAGTACCTCTTCCTGAGAAAATAATTAGCTCTGAAAGTAGATTTTACTAATGACAAAAGCAAAGGATGCCACCTGCTTTAGACAGCCCTTTTGTGAGCCACTGGAAGTCCCAACACAATGCACTAGAAATGAAAGTGACACCTGTTTAAAGAAGCCATCTGTCCCTAACAAGCTAGATTTAGTCAAATCCACTTAATCTTGGATTTCCAAAATATGGGAGCACTATGCACCTGTGAGTAGAGAACTCAAAATGTATTTTGTGGTGATCATTCTAAGGATGTACAAAATAATATCAGTCAGCAAAAATATCTGTTTGAGGAACTGTAAGTATTAATTTTTAAAGCAAGGATATGACTTTCTTTATCCCCATACTTAGCACACAAAATGATTATATGATGCTATTCATAATTTTAAGTTTATTTATTCAGTAATCTAAGTACCTACCTACCGAATGTTCTTATTTTCTGTATAACTTTATCAAGAGTAGCATTCCTGTTGTATTGTTCTAAGTTTGCTTTTACTCTTCCTACACTTCTGATGAGCTACCTAACCATTTAACTAAGAAAAACACACGTTCAAAATCTAAAGAAGTGAAGTCTTTATATTCCGCCTACAGTTTTTTTCTGTTAGAAAGTTCAGCCAAAAGCACACTCCAGTCTGATTTTTAAAAGAATGATTAAAAAAAAGTTACCAATTAGCAACATGTGCCAGTATTCAAATAAAGCACTGACTTTATCTTTGATAGATTACTACCATTTATTTTGAATCTCTAGTTTGTTTCCTTAAAAAAGGAAAATAAATTTCAACGTTTCAAAAGCCATGTTATTAATGTAATAGGGTATAAAGTACATCAGAATGAAAGACTTGGAACATTTAAAAATCTTATGATTATAGCACAAATCTATCTAAAAAATGGAAAAAAGGCATAATATTTATTATATGAAGTAGGCCTAACTTTCCTATTTCATGAAAAGATTGGGGAACGATGCCTGTAATGAATGGATTTTGGTTTAATACTTATAATCGAAAGACTCAAAAATTATCTATTTTCTTTTAACTCAACTAACAAACCAGGACAAATACTGCAAAGAATTCAGAATGCTCAAGATATGTATTAAATATATTAGGGCATTAAAACACAAATTAAATCATAAATGTTCAACTACATAAAATAATATATGAGTATTTTTATTGGGTTTTTCTCCCAAATCACTGTACTTTTAAAGAATGGTAGGCACAATCATCACTTGCTAGGTCTAAAACTTAAGAATATCTACTTATCAAACCTTCCTAAGAAACACTAAGATGGCAATAATCAAAATGATAAGCAAAAATCACTCACTACATTAACTGTAATTATTTTTAGGGTTAACGAATCTGCCAGTATCCTCAGCATTTACGCCTATGTAAATGAAGTTGACTCACTTTGAAATTGAAGTAATCTTCTGTGAGTGTAACTTTACCAATAATCTCTTTTTAACTAATAGTTTTGCTACATCTATGAAAGTTCTGTGCTTATGTCAACATGCCACTAATTTTTTTAAACCCCAAATCTGTGCGCAATGGTTATAAATCCCTTAACATGATGCAAATTCTTGCATCCCGAACATTAAAATACTAAACTATGACATTATACCATAGTCTACTCATTCTACTGATAACCCCATTATGCAAATGACATAAAGTCTGAACCTGTATCTAATGAAAGCAAAAGTCCTATTAACTTTGGTAAGAGTTTATGAGACCCAGGAGCTTCAGGATCAGAAACCATTGGGGCATTTGACATTCCTCTGAGCAAAAAAGAATACAAAGTTAGAGTTACAGATTTGACATCCAGAAAGATAAACCATAAAGGTATTGGGATCCTTTGAGAAAGACTGCTCTCAGACTACACTTATATAAAGCATTCACAGTAAATAAAACTTAAGGAATAAAACTTAGAGAAACACAACTCTTATTTGGCAAAAGATTAGTCCTACTTAAGCATTACAATTATTTAACCTGCGTAACATTTTACAATCTCAATACTGTCATATTCTTCAGTCTGCCCTATCAGTTAAAGTTAAATCAATGTCTTTTTGGTTGCGGTTGTTACAAGGAACCAAGGCATATTCAAGTCATGATTTAACAAGTTCCAAATACGAAAACAAAATATGTGCAATTAAAATAGGAAATTACATTTATTTCCACAAATGTACATTAACAAAACTAACTCCACTTTCCTATTAATTAGTTAATTAAAAGTTACACTACACAACATACAAATTTAAGGAGTTTGCATTGTAAAACTGGGTTAACTCTAAAGATCAACCCTGTCGGCTGAAAGCTAATCTCTTATATCTATCTACACAGAAAAAAATATAAATATAAATATTTCAGAAGTAATGGCCCTCTAAACTGATAAAGATTATTAAACAAATTTGATGTCCAGTGAAAACAAAAAAGTAAATACAAAGAAAATGTTAAGAAGAGACGTCTCTAGATCTAAACCACAAAGTAAGGGAAATATACACACGTTTCAAGTTGAGAAGCTTCATACATTCTTTATGAACAACTTGACTTCAATTTCAACTCTCAAAAGAAAATGAACAGAGAAGGGGGGAAGAAAGCTCAAAGTACCATAACTCACAAATACCATTATAAACTGAATTCTCTCAAAGCTTTCTTCTGTCCTATCTATTTTAAAGTCTTATAACCTCAATGTAAATTACTAAGACCTTCTTCACTATTTGGAGGTTTAACAAAGTGAAATGGAACCTCACTACCACCCCTCCCACCTCCACATGAAGATAAAGCTCTGTCAATAACTACTAACCGAACTATCACAGATGCTCTGCATCCGGTTTAAATCACAAGCACAAAAAAAAAAGACACTTTAAAAAAATCTGTTTCTCCGAAGCAGCAAGAGCACAGTAAAGAGGCCCCTGGCTTCAGTGTGTGTGTGGATGGGGGGGGGGGGGGTGTGGAAGGGGGGAGAAAGAGAAGGGAGAAGGGTGCTCAATGGATATTAAGACTGTTTGCAGCACAAAGAAAATACAGTTTTAAAAGAAAAAGAAAACAATTAAACTGCTGGTGATTAAAGAAGAATACCCCATTTATCACAAAGCAAAGAGAGGACAGAATGAAGGAAATAAGAGGTGGGAAAAGTTCACCAGTGTTTGAGGTTAAAGGGAAAAAAATCCATACCAGGCCCTACAAGTGAACAACAACAACAAAAAATACCTCTGGCTCCTCCTGCACATTGTAATCTATTTCGGTTTTGAAAAAAAGCAGGAAACATACAGGTTTAAAAAAGAAAAAAGAAAGGAGGGAAAATTTCTGGTTTCTCCACCTGACCCTCCTCCTCAACCTTGAGATCAGAAATATTCCACAATACCAATCAGAAAACTGTATTTCCCTCTCCCACTCCCCACAGACCCCCCAGATCACACTCCATCCCTAAAGTGCAACCAGAGAGGCGGGGGTTTGGGGGGTGGCTGGGGGGCACAAGACGTACACACACATCCTAGTCTATATAGTTAGTAAATATAAATTGTAAACAAGCTCCAGCAAGAGAGAAGCCCCAACAGTAGCAGCAGCAGCAAGCAGCGGCAGCAGCAGCAGCAGCAGCAGCAAGCAGCGGCAGCAGCAGCCCCCGGGGTGTGAGGAGAAGCAGCAGCACCAGAAGAGTGAGACACACACACACGCGCGCACGCACACACACACACACACACACAAATACACACGCACGGACACACGCGTACACACACATCCACACGATCCCACACACATGTAGATATAGAATAATATTCACCTTGGCTGTGGATTATTGTGGTGTTGTTGGTGGGTGATGGAGATGGTGGTGGTGGGGAGGAGGAGGAGGAAGAGGAGGAGGAGGAGGAGGAGAGGAGTAGTTGTTGTTGATGGGTAACAGTCGCCAGGACTACGGTGACTATGGCGCTTGATTCACAAGGCAACGGTTGCTATAACTCACAAAAGAGAGAGAGAGGGAGAGAGAGGGAGAGAGAGAGAGGGAGAGAGGAGGGAGAGGGAGACACACGGGGAGGGGGGGTGGGGGAGGGAAGAGGGGAGGAGGCAACCGAACCTGAGAGCCGCCGCTGCCGGAAGAGGCGGGCTCAGAGCCCGGTGACTGACACCTCACGGTGGGAGTGGGGAGAAGGCGTGGGGGAAGGATAATCTAGGGAGTCTAATGACGGGAACGGACCCGGGCGGGGGGAGGGGGGCCAAGAGCGAGAGAGGGAAACCAGAAGCTCCTTTCGAACCGACACTACTGCTTCGGCAGGCGAAACTAGGAAATGGGGGAGATGACAGTAGAAGGTGGCTTTACGAGTTTGGAGATTTCGTGTCTCCAAGAAAAAAAGCCTAATGGCTCAACAGAATAGCTTTGAAGGGAGGGAACAACCCCTCCCCCACCCCCTCCGCTTCGTCTCAAAGGAAAGAAAGGGTGCGGGAGAAACCAGTCACGGTAGAGGGCGGCGGGACATGGCGCTGGCTAGGGTAGGCGGTAAAGCGAAACGGGCGCTTCGGAGAGTGGCCGCCCCTGCGTCTACGTCACTTCCGGGGGGGGCAGTAGCCCGGATGTTACCGCCTCTTCTGGAATTGAGGCGCAGGCGTCCCTAACTGCTTGTACTGCTGCTCCTCCTCCTCCACCTCCTTCTCCTCCTCCTCCTCCTTCTCCTCCTTCTCCTCCTCCTCCTCCTTCTTCCAAGTCGTTGAGCAGCTTGGCGCTCTAGGGTTCCCTGGTCCCGCGCGGGACGAGAGTTTCCTAGTCTCTTCCTCTCTTCCTCATTCCCTCCCCCTCTCTCACCTTCTAGCTTCCTGCTTTCCCGATCTCCCGCCGGCCCCCGGAGGGCACTGAGCGGAGGCGAGCGGCTTGAGGGGGTGTGTGTACGGGGGAGGGGGCGGGGGGGAAGAGAGCTAACTGGAGGTGGGGAGCCGGGGTGGGGGGGGGAGGTAGAGAAGGTGCGCGTGCCAAGCTCGCGGCGACGCGGCCGCCATTTTAAAAGTGAGGAAGAGACCCGAGCGCGTGGGGGAGGATTTGATCCCAGTTGCCTTCGTTCGCGAGGAGAGTCAGTCGTTCGCATTCCTCGTCTACAAAGCTGGGAGAGAGTAGAACTGTGGAACGAGAGAGTTACGGCACCTGCCGACACCCAGGCCAGGAGGGGAGGAAGGGCGAGGGAAGTGTGTCCACCTGCTCCCATCCCGACTCAGCCCGGGTGGAGGACCCGCTCCCGTGCCCAGGGTAGTTCTGACCCGTTATTCCGGGGTCAGACCGTTTTATTTCTCCCAGGACGTGAGCTAGCCATGGTGATGGGTCAACTGCTCCCGCATTTGCAAAGCCAGTACAAAGTGGGCCCGAGGCCGTGGCCACATCGCTGCTGCCTTTGGCTCTTCTGGATGCTTCGATGATAACTTGGGGCGGCCCCTCTGGTCTAGGGCTTCAGCACTTCCAGCTGGCCGTACACGAGGGGCCGAGGGGGTGTCGGGGAAGGCCCTGAACACCCGCTAAAATGTCATAAGGTGACGAATGAGGGGGTAGGCCATATGGTGAGAAAAGGTATGAACCTAGGTGTAGGATCGTAGCTGTAGAGGGCACCGGAAAGGACCTTTAAAAAAAGCATCTAGTTCCCTCCCTACAATTCCCTCCAACCCTTCTTCATTTTACGGATGAGGAAACCAAGGCTCAGATAGGTTAAGTAAATAAGTGGTATTTGAATCCAGATCCCAAACTTCAAATGCCAGCAGTTTTTCCACTGCACAGTCACTAGGCAAATCTTGTGGCCTTTGAGTAAATCATCTAATCTCAACCCCCGTTAGTCTGTAAAATAAAGGATCATAATCGTAATACCAGGAGTTTGGGAATAGATGATAGAGGATTATAGTTTTAGAGCTGGTATGGACCATAGAAGGGCAGCTGAATGGCACAGTGGATGGAGTGCCTTGCCTGGAGTCAGGAAGACTCTTCTTCCTGAGTTCAAATCTGGCCTTTGACTGTGACCCTGAGGAAGTCACTTAGCCCTTTTTGCCTCAAGTTTCCTCATCAGCTTTGAGCTGGAGAAGGAAATGGCAAACCACTCCAGTATCTTTGCCAAGAAAACCCCAAATGAGGTCACACACCACTGAAAAGAACTCAACAAAGGGACCTTAGAGGCCATCTAGTCCAATAAGTCTCGTTTTATGGAGACCCAGAGAGGTTAAATGAATTGTCCAGGATTCCAAATATAAGTGTCTTGAGACAATTTGAAAGAATTCTTTCAAACATACCCTACCACATCTTTCAGGCAAAATTGGGAGAATGCAGTCTTCTAACCCCCAGTCCAGAATTATCTAAGTGCAGTGATAATTACTTTTAAAGTTTTTTTACTTTTAATTTACTAGTCGTCATCAAAAAATTGGATCCTAAGTGAAATTCCTGTTATTTTGCACCAGTGTGGAAAATCCCTGTATAGATTAACTCTTAGAGTTTCCTGTGGGCATTGAGAGGTTAAATGACAAGTTCACACAGTTTGTGTTTATCAGAGAAAGACATTTAACTCAGGTCTTCCTGTTTTCTAAGGTAGTCTATGCAGCAACAACCCTAGAGATTACAAAAAAAGTTTCTAGTCAGTGCTGTTAAGGGTCTTACATCCATTAAATTACACAGCTTCTTCTACAGTCATAATATCTACAATTTGTGAGAAAAATTGTGCATATTAACTTTTGGCAAGATAATGTCTAGTTTGGTGACCTCATATTTTGTAACCAAAACTCATTTTACACTTGAGGAATAGAGGTCCACAAAATTTAAAGTGACTTAAGTATTCAAAAAACAGAATTTTGGTAATAGAGGTGTACTTGAACTCAGGTTATGGACCTGAAGTTCTCTTTCCACTTTCTCCCTGTATTATATCTTATATAGTGCTCTTTCTACTATACCACTGTTTACCATACTGTTCTATGTGATGTAAGGATTCTGCTAACAAATGTCAATAATTTTTTCCTCAAATATGAAATGATAAGTGCAATTTTTCACTATGAAAATAGTCTTTTCCTCTTTCCTTTTCCTATTTCCTAAGGGTAGACCTCCCACCCTTCTCTTTATCCTGGAATTTTTCCAGACCCCACAGATCAACGTTTATGAGTTCCATCAGTGCATTTCAAGTCCAAAAGTGTTCTGTGGCCAAAATATTTTAGGAAATGCTGCACTACACTATGCTGCCATCTGCTCTTTCCATTACACCCCACTTTCAGTATGCCTGCTGCTCACAACCCTCCACCTTTAATTGCTGCTTCTAACCTCATAACACTTTATCTAGATCTTTTTTACTCTTATCACATGTAATTTTTTTTATCTTTGTATCCTTAGTGCCTTGAATATAGTAGGACCCCCTGAATTGAATCAATTTTAAGTAGGCTTTAAGGGAAAATATGTTAAAACATAGTTGAATTGAATCTAAAAGAATAATAAGCCCTGATATTAGCTTTGAATCACTGAACTAAATTCCTTGATTTCTGAAGTATTAAAATTGTGTGTAATCCTAAATGAAGTTTTGGGCTTTCTCTGTATCCTCTGCTTAGCACAGTGCCTGGAACATAGTAACTATTTAATAAATGGTTGTTGACTAATTGATAATGTTAAGAATGTCTTCAAAGACTGTATAATCACTTTTGGAGTCTGAGATCCCCTTCCAACTTCGAGGTTCTTTGACTCTTTATACAGGGACTTGGAAGTATTTTTTCAGTGATAAGCTAATTGGTTACAATTGGATAGTGTGAGTTACTGTAACAAAAAGATGTATTTTCAAAGTTACAATGCTAGTGCAAGTATCCAAACTTTTGACTCAAAATTGTGACATTCAGTTGCATACAGTAAAAATATTTGATACTGTATTTTGTGGCAAAATGCATACAAAGTTTCTAACTCAGGTTTCCCTTTAAATGCTTTGCTGGATCTGGTTACATCGTTTCCAAGGATAAAAACTACTTATTGAACTTTGTAGAGAAATGCCTAATTTTGATAGTGACTGCAGTTTATTTCAAAGAAAAATTTGTAATATATCTTGTATTTGGTATTGCTTTAGGCTCTATGATATTATTTTTAAATAAGATTTAAATAAAAGATAATTATAAATGAATCTTTTAATATTTCACAAATATGTTTCAGAAATACATACATATACATACATACATACATATATATATACACCAGCAGAGCCTTAAGATACTACCCAATATAGTGGAATACACACAATGGGCCAGCTAACAAACTATTAAAGAGAAAAGACAAAATAATCCTTTTTGTTCTTTGGGCAAATCTCAGCTCCTATCAGTTAATGTATATTTCTAGACTCTCAGAATATAAAGAGACCTGAACCTGAAAAGTCAAATGATCCAATCCATACCTGAACAGGAATCTCTAAACATTCCCAATAAAGTGTTATTAGCTTTAAAAAGAAGTCTTCTAGGAAATAAGGAACTGACTACCTCCCAAGAAAATTCATTCCACTTAGGGGCAACTTTAATTATCAAGAAATTGTTCTGATTTTGAGTCAAAAAATTAGCCTTTCAGTTAAACAAATTTTTATTAAATACTGAACACTAGGAGATAGGCAAAATTCAGATAAGACCTGAACCCTACCCTCATAGAGTTTACAGTACTAAATAAGGAAATAAGGTATCCTATTTGCCTATTTTTTTAAGCCCAACTGAAATGACACCTTCTTCAAGAAGCTCTTCCTTCTTCAACCTCCTCAAAACTCACATAAAGTTTTATTAATAGGGAACAATGTGATCAAAAATCCTCATCTATCAGATGACTTCTGCCACTTTTCTTCCATCCCTGTCTCACATAATGAAGTCTTCTTCTTTATTCCTTGCCAAAGTTTCAACTCTACTTGTTGAAGTGATACCATTCCATCCCATTTCCTCCAACAGATTGCCCCTTCTGTCATTCCCACTATTTCACTTATTTTCAAT